GGACAGGGAAGCCTGGTGTGCTACAGTCCATGGGGTCACAAGGAGTCAGACAGGACTTAGCAATGGAACAACAACAAGATCTCACAAACCAAGTGGCATGCCCCACCCTCCCAAAAAACTGAGGATTATAAAGGTTAAGCAATTTGTCCAAGGTCACCATTAATAGTAAATGGTAAACCAGGATTTGACCCCAGGCAAAGTGACTTTAGAGAGACTGTTTTTAATGACTGTTATATATCTCTGCTAGTTGTTATATTTTTCTTCTCTACAGTTAAGCAAATCCCTTTTCTCCTCCAATTCCTTCAGAAAGATGCTGAGCCTTTTTAAAATGTGTTTTGGTGGAAGATATCTATCAATTGTATCAGGAACTATGAATGATGGCTTTAGATGTTAGCCAAGAAAATTATGCTAGGACAACCACAGCCACAAATACAGTCATTTGCAAATCATATTTGACTGTTTTGATCATATGACTGTTTTGATCACAGTCATAATTTTGAATAAAGAGAATAAAGCATAATATTATTTTCAGAGTTATTTAATTCTTTCTTCTCTCCCTTCACCTAGTGCCAGTCATTCAGTGCAATCAACAGCTGGGGGAATTAAATGCTTTCCTTCTTTGGAGACTGTAATACCCTAAAATCCAATTAGCTTAAATGAATTAAAATGCTGTTTTTAAAGCCAAAGCACTTCCAGGAGGTAACTGTTAATTGTGGAGCATTTTTCGAAACCATGCAAAGAAGGAAAGAAATGACTACGTCAAAGTATATTTGTGAACTCCAGAGTTCCACCCACATACACATAATGTCAATTCCTAGATCAGCAGTTCTCACAGTGTGGTCCCTAAACCAGCAGTGTCAGTATCACTTGGGAACTTGTTAGAAATGACAATTCTATACCCCACCCCACACCTACTGACTCAGAAACCCAAGGTGGGTAGCCCTGCAAACTGAAGGTGACCTGTGGGTGATTCTAATGCACGCTAAAGCTTGAGAACAGCTATTACAGCCATTGTGCTACCAAAATAGCTGTAAGTCAAACTTACAGGGGTAACTGTCTTGTTTATCATTCCTCTAGTTAAATATTAAGAAATATCTGCAGTTTACTAGCATTATTTATGTTTTTCCATATTACAGTTTTGCCCGTAATGAAATTAGATGTTAAAAAAATATATATTGTTCAAAATGAAGGCTGTTCTTGACTGTGTGTTTAGTCTGTTTTTCATTCTCAGTCCTAAATCAGCATGCCTCAGCACACTGCTAAAATGTTTGAGAACCTTTAGATGTATACTACCCTCAGCTTGCAAACTGCTTTTGTTTACATTCAGTATCTACTTATATTTTATACCATTTATTTTATGCTTCCTTAGGAAAAATAAATGGCTTTAAAATGTGAGGTAGCTAACATTCAAATTAGTAATAACATAAGGCTTTCCTAACAGTGTGGGAAATAGCATTTACCTAAATAGTAACTGTCCTATCAAAACAAAATTTCATTTGCACAGTAAGATTGTATTTACATTTACTGTTTTAGGTAGTGAAGAGACCATAAACTGTAAGTCTAGAATCCTGAGAGATTTTCTTCTTCCTGATGTATGGTGCCCTTTGCATCCTATGATTCATAATCCACTTGGGTCGTGAAACATTGATGAAGGGAAGCCAGTGACAGTAATGGAGTCCTGTTCGGTCAGGCTTCACAGGAAAGACAGATCATATTTCACTGGTGAAAAGTGCCTCTAATTAAAGGAGGTGCCTTGGGGATAAAAATGTTAGTGCTTCCTCTTTCTTCTCCTAATGTCTTTCATCATTATATAAATGCACAAAGTTTATTTCTTACCATGTGTGTCCATTTTTTCTAACTTTATCTCAACAAATATTTATTTCATGAACAAACCTGCAGGAAAATAAAAGAATTGGTTCTAAAAGCAAAGGAATAAGGAACAGAGATTTACGTAGCCAGCTGGGAAAGAAATGTCAAAATAAAAAATTTACCAAGTTAGATACAAGTTTGATTAACTGTCTATAAGACAATAAAGTCATATCATCTATGGCATTAACTTCTCTACCAGGCTGTAAGATCCTAATAGGTTATCAGTTCTAAAAGGTTATACATCATCTGTACCTTTATATTTGTTAGGCAAATATATTGTCACCCAAGAGTGTCGGATGAGGGTGGCAGTGGGCTGAATGGTGCCCCCCCCCAAAAGACACGTTCATATCCTAATCTCTGGAACTTCTGTCAGTCTTCACCTCCCTGACTCAATTTTCTGGATTAGAAAAATACAGTAGCTTCCACAGGGCCCAGAGAATAAGGGAGGATGCTTGTTTGGGAGGCCACTGAGCCTCATCCACCAGTGAGCAAGGCACTGATGCCAAGGCAACAGCATCACTGCCTTGACCTGCCTTCATCACCCTCCCTTTTCTGACCACAGGCACTGCTCCAGAGGCCTCAACCCTGAGCTACTCACAGGCATCGCTCTTTACCAGGAACCCCACTAGGGCATCCTGCAGCCATCCGCACTCCACCCCCAAACCAGGGTTTACTAGCATAGACATCTGCCAGTCCAGGCACAGCACAAAAATCAAGTCTCTTTCAATCTCCTATAAACTCTCCTTAGCCTCCAGATTGGCCCTGAGACCTTGACTGAGAACACACAGCTACCTTCTGGGAGTAGGGAAGAGAAATACCTTTAATTTGGTCACTCATGTATTCCCTGACAGTATATTTACTGATTATTTGTGGAGTACCTACTCTTAGAAGGAGAGGCCAGGGATATAGCAGGGAATAAATACATCAAGGAGGAGAAAACATAAGTTAGTGTTCCAATAAATTAACCTTTCACATCCATTAAGGCAGAAGGCAGTCTAAGACTTGTTTATGCTCAGAAACATTCCTAGTAATTACTTTATTATTATTTTCAGCCCATGGTATTCTAGACAGCTTCTTGGCTAGCTCTCTCAACCTTGCATGAATGTCCCTGTCTCCAAGGGACAACTTTTCTATATTTTGCATCTTCGTAAAATGGCCAGTTGAGTACAGCCTCCTGTGAGAGGCAGTGCATGCAGTGGTTTTCAGCATGGCCCAGAAGCAATGGTCCTACCGCTCAAATAGCTGTGAGACCAGGGGCAAGTCAAGTCAGCCCTCTGTGCTTCAGGGTCATGAAGTCAATGCTAGTACTTACCTCAGGTTGTTGAAAAGACAACATGAGTTCCAGTAGGTAAAGGACTTGAAGCAGTACCTGGCATGTAGTAAGTCCTGGTATTGGTGGTGTTCAGTCTCTAAGTCATGTCTGATTCTTTATGACCCCATGGTCCGTGGCCCGCCAGGCTCTTCTGTCCATGAGATTTCCCAGGCAAGCATACTGGAGTGGGTTGCCATTTCTTCTTCCAGGGGATCTTCCCAACACAGGGATTGAATACTGTGTAATCATTAAAGAGGGGGTTCCTCTTGAGGACCACTAATGGTGGAGAAAGAATGAAAAGCAACCGAACAGCATAGATGGTAAGTGCTGGGGGAAGAGCAAAGTTTTGCCATAGTTTTGGTTTTCAAATGTGACTACTTTTAAAAATCACCACAGAGCTTTTCAAACATTTAACTCCCGGGCCCCACCTTCAAAGATCACTTCATTGGTCTGGGGTGGGGCCCAGGTCTGTTCAAGTAATTCCCCTAGAAGCAGGGCTTGAGCACCCCTACAGAACAGCAATCTCCCACGTGGCCAGGGAGCCACCGCTGCCCTGCAGTGAACGGGGGTAGGCGACTTGACTCCGAGCCTCTCTCCCCCTGCTCCCCAAGGCCTAGCTGCCTTAGCGGTGCTGGCCCTCCCCCCGCAATCCATCCGCAAGCATCCTTGGGGCATGTATCACTTGTCAGACCCTGGACTCAGGGTGGGGCAGTTCAAGAGTTACCAAAGTCCTCCCCCTGTGGACCCCACAGCAGAGCAAGAGGATCAGAGAAGAAGATAAGAAAACAAGCAACCACATGGAGAAAAATCAGACACATTCAATGCTCATGGAGAGAGTTCTAATCAACATACAGTGTATACTGACTAGGAAATCCTTGGGAAAAGACTGAGGTAGATCTAGGAATGCAACGTGTGGAGACTCTCCAAGGTACATTGCTGAATAGAAAAAAACAAACCACAGAATAGCACCATTTACCTTTCCAAAAGCTTTTTGAAACACTGTGATATTCTATCCATGGGTGCATAAATATACATGAAAATTCAAGGGGAAAATGTCTAGAATTATGTCTCTGATTTACCATGATTAATTTTTTCAAAAAGAATGTAATCATTGTTTGTGAAATTTAAAATAGATTTTTTTTTTTTAATTCTAGCAAACTCTTTGTGGGGGATCTTCTGAAAATATTTACATTTAGCTAAGTTGTGTATCACATTTCCTGTTAATTGTGACAAAGCAGTTGGCATTATCAGACATGATTTTATCCAAGTGATTATTAAGCAGAGAGCAGTGACCTGAGGAGATGTGGCATGAGACAGATGTGTGCCAAGAGAGGGAAGGCAAAGGAAAGAGAATTCAGCATGAAGCCCAGCTCAAGTGGAAGGGGAAAGGCCTAGCAGCTACCTTCCGTGGCTGCAGCCTTCGCGGCTTCACCTGAGGCTGATCCTCCTAACAAACTGAAAGCGCAAACATCAGCTTCCAGGTGTGTTCTATAACGGAGATTCCAGCCTGACTATGGGGAAGACTTCCTAACCTATCAATGCCTTGAACCTAGACCAATGAGATGTAAGATCTTTGGGAGGTGGGGCCTGGGTGTTGTTTTAATATGACCTCGGCTGAGACTCTCTGTTAGAAGTTGCATGTGTGTGAGTGGGACGCACATTTTGGCACAGTCCCCTTTTAAGAAGCGTTGTGCTTGCAAAGTACTCCAAAAGTGACGTCAGTCACAGGTGCTTCTTCAAGTCTAGGGTACTATGAGAAAAGGAAAAATGTTTGTATTTTATATTACGTGATTCCAAAATTATGTTTGGTTTATTTCAGGCTCGACTGACCAAAGAGCAGCGCTGGGGGAGTGCCTTGCTTTCCAGAAACCATTCCTTAGAAGAAGAGTTTGAAAGAGCGAAAGCAGCTGTGGAGGTAGCTTTTTGGTTCATTTTTTCTGTTTCATGTTTCTGAGAGTGGAATTCAAAAAGTCAAACAAAAAGACATAAGAAGTGGATCTTTTTTAAAAAATTGGAGGATAATTGCTTTACAGTGTTCTGTTGGTTTCTGTGGTCCGACAACGTGAATCAGCACCATGAATCTTAAATATACATCTACTCCCTCCTCTTTGTGCTCCCTCCCAGCCCTCTAGGTTGAAATGGGTCTTTATAGACATGAACAAACCATGACTATAACTGTTAGAATGAGACCTGGTTACCAGAGAACTTTTGACTTCCTACATGGGATGACTAATAGTTGTCAACTCTTACAATTCTGTGGTAGATTAGCAGTGACTGTCTGGAGTTTGGGGTCAGGAAGAACTACTGAGTCTCATCAGGCTCCCGTGATGAACCTATGCTATGCATTTGCTATGCTTCTATGAGGTCAAGCTTCATGCCTGATTTTTTTTTTTTTTCCTTTATCTGACATCTAGCACAATGTCTGAAACGTAGAGGATCTTGCTATCCCTGAAATATACATTTTCCTCACTGGGTGGGGAAAAAAGGCAGAGCTGAGAAATTCTAATCAATGATAGCCCATCTTGACTTGAGCCATAATTTTTCTTTTTTTTTTTTTACTGTTAAGAGTGTTCAAAACAATGACAGTGTTAATAAATTAAATACTTAATTTGAACATTACTTTTCCTTGTTTAACCTTCTAATAAGAGAGGGAGTGGGGAAAGAAAGAAAGGGAAAAGGGAAGCCAAAAAAGGCATCCTTGGCTGTTTTTTATTCATTTCCTTCCTGGTTAGATTTGCAAAGAATGCATCACAGGTCCCATCTATGATTCTCACCAAAGCTTTGCGAGATGACTATTTGAGAGTGGAGCTTTTCACCCAATCCAAGTATGAACTTGTCAGGACCTCCATTTCTATTACTGATGGGAAATCTTGCAAATTGAAAGTATTCCCGTAATATGGTTCATTTATGTGTCAGTCTTACCACTAGAATTTGGACAAAAGTATTATACAATGGGCCGTCTTTCAGTAATTTCATACTTGAAGTGCAATTAAATCATACTAGCAATTTAATATTAAAAAGTTCTCTATATTCTAAGAAATCAATTCAGTTGCTCAGTCGTGTCTGACTCTTTGCGACCCCATGAACCAAATAATTCCAGTCAAATTTCATATCATCAATCAGAAGCCTAGTAAGAGAACACTTTAATCTCATCACAATACAGTCCACCCAAATTTCTTCTTTTAGTTTTAACCTTTTTATTAAAAAAAAAAGTTAATGCATATTTAGTACTCTTGAATGTGATCAACTGATAGATTTGATTGAGACCAGCTGAGTTCCAGTTATTCAGCTGCATGGAGGCTGTAGCTCAATTTATCTTAAATGTAGAATTTTCTGACTTAAAAAGAGAATTTAAGTTTTTGAATTCCTACTGTGTTAGCACTAAAACGATTACTTAGAGCCATAGAATCTTGGGGAACAAAAGACTTTAGAATTTATCTATTCCTATTTGTAAGGAGGAGACAATGAGTCCACACTAGAAAGACATAAACACAAAGTAACATATCAACAAGAAAAAAAATTGTCCATCTGTCTATCCATAAAGTCACTTAATCTTCTTTCTGGTGGAGACCTTAGAAGTCATCTATTCCAACCAGTCACACGAAACAGTTTTTCTTCTTAAACATACTTGACAAATTATTTATTCAAACATACCTTGTTTCTATTTGAACGTTTCCAGTTAGGAACAGCTCACTTCTTTTCAAGAAAATCTATTTCAGTTTTGGACAATCCTGACTGTTAAAAAAGGTCTTCCCTGAATTAGGTTGAAATTGGCCTACCAGCAACTACCTGTTTTCTTACCCCTGGCTTTGCTCTCTCTGGAACAAGGCAAGCTTAGGTGAATCCCTTCTCTACCTGACGCCCATCTCAACCCAGGAAGCCTAGTTTTCTTCTGGTTTCTCCTGGTATGTCCTGGGAGTTGAGAGACCAGAGTTGTTACTCGTTACTTCAAGTAGTTATCAGCAAACATTAATGGCTGTCTATACATGTTGACTGCTGAACTAGGTATTAGAGATCAAGGAATGAGCTAGCTTTGAGTTGCTGTCCAGCAGTGGCATGGACCAGATGACCGACTTAAACAAGGCATTTGCTCCCTTCCACTTTAGTTTCTGCATTATAAGATGAGGGGCTTGGGTTTCTAATGTACTAAAAGTGCTATCCGTTTATAGCTTCAGGTGAAGCGACTAAGTGCAGAATTCCTAGCAAATCAGAAAACTGTAAGCATATTTGCTCAGCTGGAAGCCTGGAACTGAGAAGCTTCCTTAAGGAATGAGAGAGGATGGTGCTGACCAGAAGGTGTGAACAGGTGTGGGGAAAAAGGCATGAGGCATGGGGGTGGGGGTTGTATTTCACCAAGCTGATGGTAAATCAGACCTATGAAACTGCACACATATGTGAACTACTTACTTCCCGACGTTATTCTTATCGAGGGTTTAATCTAAATCCTTAGCAGAAGACATAATAAAATGTGTCACAGAGTCTTGGAAATATACATGCCACTTGACCCAGCCACTTCTTAGAATTTATCTTAGAGAAATAGTCATGAAAGTTTGCAATGTTTTATCTGTAGATTTTTTTTAAGTGGTGAAAATTGGGAATAGCCCAAGTGTACCACAGCAGAATTAACTAAATTATTATCTCTACAGTAAAATGCTATAAAACCATTAAGAACTACAACATAGAAAAATATTTAAGATGATGTAAAAATGTCTAGTGATAATAGGAATACTAATTTATATAATGATAACCTTACAGTATGATCCCAGGTTCATAAAATTCTAATAGCTTAATACCTAATGTGTTTGGAATGACTTCCCTGGTGGCTCAGCTGGTAAAGAATCCGCCTGCAATGCGGGAGACCTGGGTTCGGTCCCTGGGTTGGGAAGATCTGCTGGAGATGGGAACAATTACCCAATCCAGTATTCTGGCTTGGAGAATTTCATGTCCTGTATAGTCCATGGGGTCACAAAGAGTCGAACACAACTGAGTGTTTGGAACACATACTCTGTGCCAGGCACTGCCTCAGGAGCTTTGTATGGATTCTCATTTAATCCTCCAAGCAGGCCTGGTGGTGGTTTAGTCGCTAAGTCATGTCCGAATCTCTGCAACCCAGTGGACTGTAGCCCACCAGGCTCCTCTGCCCATGGGATTCTCCAGGCAAGAATACTGGAGTGGGTTGCCATTCTCTTCTCCAGGTAATCTTCCCAACAACCCAGGAAATGAACCCAGGTCTCCTGCATTGCAGGCAGATTCTTTACCAACTGAGCTATGAGGGAAGCCCCAGCAGGCCTATGAGGAAGGTAATATTACTGTTCTCATCCTGCAGATGAGAAAACTGAGGCTTAAAGATATTGCAGACATTTACATGGCATTTTATAAGCAATTAACATAGACTAAAAATGAACAACTCTCATTTAGCAAGTTATAAAGTCATGATTTCCTCCCAGACTCCAAAGCCTGTATTCTGAATCACTGCACTGTATAATCATCAAGAGTCTGTGCCCAAATGCTCACAGTAGTTATCCTTGGGTGGCTGTACTTGGGAGTGATTTAATTTCTTCCATTAGCTTATCTGTATTTTCTAAATGTTCTGTCATAAATGTGTACTATGTTGGTAATCAAGAAAAAAGCGGTAAATTCCAACGGGCACTGTAGTAGAATCTCAGATTCTTAAAGAGACCGAAAAGTGCCATATTCTTCATTTCAAGACTGATGAAGAATGGCACCGCAGATCGGCTTTATTAGAGACTGTTCTAAACAACAGGGAGACCCAGATGAAAACCATGCCTGGGGCAAGTTCAGTGCTTCCAATCTCCATTTCTATATTATCTGGTTCCAGTATTCCTTCTGCTTCTCATTTTATTCCGTTCTTAAACCCTCCTTTTTTTTTTGGTCATCATCCTGCCTCAGGCCTGGCACCTGATCTCCTTTCCAGCTTCTTCTGCGTCTCAGCCCTTTACCAGCTCCAGGGGCACCACCGAGCTCTCTGTTCATCTCACACAACAGCCCCATTGCCTGCCGTCTCCACTCTTTCCTCTGCAGGGAACATTCTTCCCCCAAATCCTGGTGTGGCAGGTCCCTTTTTGTCCTTCAGATTCTAGCTCAAGTGTCAACGCCTCAGAAAACCTGAAGCTGACCACCAGTTGCTGCATAGCACCTCAGATTTTGTTTTTCACTCTTAGATTTATCACTTTGTCTTCCCTTATTTGTTTTTATTTACCTCTCTGTCTGTTCTCTGTCCACTTTAAAATGGAACCTCAGTGAGGAAAGGGATCTTGTCTCTTATGTAACACTGTACCTCAAGAGCTAAAAGTGTCTGGTACCTGCGTCCATGATCAGTTGCTCAGTCATATCTGACTCTCTGCATCCCCTTGGACTGTAGCCTCCCAGGTTCCTCTGTCCATGGAATTTTTCAGCAGGAATACTGGAGTGGGTTGCCATTTGCTCCTCTGGGGTACCTAGTAAGTATTTAATAAATACTTTTTAATGAATGGATGGATGGCTAATTGTTAATCACATGACATGAAAAACACTTGAAAAGTGCCATATCACCTTCTAATGTAATTGAGTATTTGCACTTTCATAGCTGATGTAAACAATCAGCTCTGTCTCTGGGGTACAGATCTCTCCCAGGGACTGCCCTGACGTGTCCTCTGCGGCTGTCTTGATCTCAGTGTCAGTGAGACACAGTCGTTGTGTTACAATGCCGTTACAATACAGGTAACAGCAACCACTCATGCCATGATGTAACTTTGGACCTGTTTTATATTCTACATGGTATGATCTAGGCTATGCACAGACTATGTAATACCTAACAGCATGCAATTCAACTAATGTTGACCTAAAGTGCCCTAAAATTCCAGTCCTCCTACTAAAGACAGTTATCACCATGTACACATTTATGCGTATCTTAAG